CCCCAAAACCCCAAAACCCCTGATTACCTGAATTAGAGTTTATGAATTAAAATTATATGATAATATAATTAAGAAACATAAATATTTTTTCACTCAATAAGGCTGAAGTTTATCACCTTATATATATTTCATAGGTGTAATTTTGATCATCATTTATATCAAGAAATCAATTATCATATTTCTGTACGATTAAACTCATTCCTCTTTTATATGGATAAGTCACCAGTAGAAGGCTGTATTAGACTTGACTTCTAAGCATCATTTTGATGCTGCATTTCATTATCAATTAATTAATTTAGACTATCGCTTTCTTATAATTACTTAACTTATCGAAATGATTATTATTCTTAATGCATCATTAGTTTTGAGCTGGAATCATAATCTAGAGTGCTAGAAAAGTATTAGTTTGTCCCATTCAATTAACTTTTTGAAATGCTTTGATTTTGATTATAATAATTAGGATAACTACCCGGAGGCATGCTATCATTATGTTTATATTGATATTAAACGCTCTCTTAATCAATTTATGGTGGGCCGACATTATCATTCTGTTTCAGTATTGCTTGACTATTCAACATACTTAATTATTCATTTTCCTCATTATGAGTGTTTTCTCTAAACTCACTAGGATATCTAGAATTTTCGTTTTTTATTTTACTTGCATAGATTTTCAAAATCTCTGGATCTGGTAAACCAATAACCCCTCTCTCTAAAGCTAATTAATACTCTGATGACTATTTTAAATGCCTCGGTTATTTCTTTTTGCATGAACCATGCTTCCTACATACCATTCTTGGAACTCCAAGTTAATAATCATATTTGCAGCATAATCTTATTCCACATAGAGAAAAGATTAATCCTATGATGAACAAAAAGAAGGCTGGAGGAATAACATACAGAACATCACGAGAATTTTAATCAGCATCTTTGTCTAGCAGTCATCTCTATGCCTATTTACAATTTATGAATAGTTAAATATTTACCTTTTCATAATTAAGATCGTTCTAATAACTTGCCTATTCTCTATTTTATTCTTTTTCAAATATTTTTTAGGCTAACAATAATGAAATTTCGAGAAAAATAAGTAAACTTATAAGACAATATCGATATATATGCATTTTATTTCAAAACGCGATTAAATAAATAAGGAGATAGTTAGGAAGAAAGAAATTCTGATATTTAAATTTTAACTTTGTATTATATAAATGAGAGCTTAGTGTTCATCATTCACTTAACAACTTTCACTGATCTTTCCTGACAATTAAGAATCTAAGCAACGATTCTCAATAGAGCCTGACACATTGTTCCATATTTGTTATCTTAGCTTTTTTAATCTTCTAGGCACCCGACGAATTCTTTCTCTTTCCAACAACCTTGTTTACCTTTGGGTTCCACTTCTCACTATTTTGAAATAGTTGGTCGAAGTTTATTATCTAATCTTTTTGCATTTGTTTTTAAGAGCTGTTTTACTATTAATTTTAGTCAGTTTGAATTACTTAAAGATTTGAAGTTTAATGTTGAACTTCCTTGGCTTGAGAAGTTTCTTATGGTACCTCAGTCTTAACCTTTGGCTCTTATTCCACAAAAACTGAAGATTATTAAATTTGCATTTTGCTTCTTTGGGATGGGTTTTCTTCTTCCGCAGAGTCATCAGCTCTCTCGATCATCTTTTCAATTTAAGGCAGATTGAATTTTTAGTCAAATTTGATGGCTTTGATCGGTAGTTATTCAAAGTTATCCTGACCTAGTACCACGAATTACTTTTTAAGCCAATAATTGACACATATGTATGCAAGAACAAATGCAGCTAGGAATGCTACTGCAATCAGTTCCCCTGAGATATTGGGGGCAATTTCTGTAGCTGCAGCCATTACGATAATGTTGGTTACAGCTTTTATCTCAGTTTCAAGATTTTTTTAGGAATCATTCTTTTAGATGGCTTCTTCTTGGACCTTGCTATTTCGCAATAGTTTTTATATTCTATCGTTAAAAGGAGTCTTTTTCAACTATTAGACCTGAGAAACCTCTTCTCTAAAGGAATCGTGCACATGCTCAGGCTAAGCACTTGAGGCTTAGACGTAGCACGTTAGCAAACACAGTATTCCGAAGGTGAGGCATACAGATCTAAGCCCAGCTTTATTAATCATTTAAGCAATATTTATTTATAAATCGGATTTTGTGTCAGCTTATTAAAATTTTCATACTCATCATTTCCTTATTTAATGACGAATTCAAATCCATGGGGTTTTGGGGTTTTGGGGTTTTGGGGTTTTGGGG